CTTGGAAGGAAAGAACCTTGATCTAATCAGGCCGCGTTGCTGCTTGCGGTAAAGAAGGAGAAGGCGAGGGAAAGCGAGAAACTTTCGCGCGATCGATGTATATTTGAGCAGGAAAGTAGCTGCTCACTCGTAGTCTACGTAAGCGAACGAAAACGGCGAGTGCAATGTCGAGCGATGCGGGCGAAAGTAACGAGCAATAAAAACGCGCCACGGTGAAAAGTAACTCTCTTCGCTTTGTAAAGATTTGGGAACACGGGGCGGACTTTTATGGCACACTCCCCCCATCCACACCCTTGTCGCCCTTGCGAAGAAACTCGCGAGACGGCGTTCCTAAGCTCTCGTTGAAACAAATGTAGCCGAATGCCGGTCTATTTGCATACTCATTGTACTGTAAGTGCTTCGCCCTAACGGCGGTGGTTGGCGGATCGCTCGTGTAGACGCGAAACGGGACACGACGGCGAGTGCCTCGAAAATCGTTAACCCGCGTGCGGGAGGGTGTGTCGTCCGCGAATTATTCGAGAGGTTAATTCGCACCGTTACCAGCCTTGGGACTTGACGTCTCTCCGGTTGACGAAAAAATATTCACCACCGTCACCACGGAAACGCGATTCTGTTCGATCGTCTCGACGCGAGTTACGTCATTATGTACGCGCGAATCGGCATGTGTATGGTCAGTCACAAAAACGTGTGCGACACTTTTTTTCATGAATTTCGCAACGCACTCCGACAGGAAAATATATCCGCTGAGAATTACTAAAGAATAAATTCTCCCATTGGACACGGAATACGTTTCGAGATTTGTTATAAAGGAAACCTTTTTACCACTGACCATACGATATAAAATTAATTTTCCGTTTGCGTAGCACGAGCGATATTGTAGTTCGCGAAGAAGGTGATGAAATTATATCGGTGCGCGTTCTCGCGGCTGTAAAAAGGTACATTCGCAACGATTTCCGGCATCTCGCGGTCGGCCTTATCGAGAACGTGCCGAGGAATTCCCCCGTTAAATCTCTCTTTGCTTTCTTGCGACATCCGATGAAAATCAGGCCGCAAAAACCGCGACGGACTCCCAAGGCAGTACATGCGCAAGGTATCGCATCATCGCGCCAACAATTTCACAATTGCTCGCGCTGATACGTACATCGGATGTAATACGTATCGATGTAACCAAACCGCAAAACACGCAAAACGATTAAGAATGCGGTTATTATTAACGCAAAGTATGCAACGCGCGATACGATAGAGCAACCGGTTTCCTAGTACTAATTGGCGTCGTACATGTTATTCGAAAACTCGTATTGGAGCGGCGATACTTTCGACGCGATTTCACCGGTCGACGGAACGCCATCTTCGAAAAAGAGATAGAGAAAGTGCGGGTATTATGGAATACCCTAAGGTTTTTTCAGATAAATCGAAAACTATTAAAGATAGCTGAAATTAGTTTTCACTGAGTTTTAACGTCAAGTATTTTTATAACCAAGTGTGTTTCTAACGGATTTCGTTTATCTATAGTAAGTTTAATGTTATATCAATCTTTCTGAAGGTGTAGATCTTAGAAGGGTAATATGGAACAAGTTGAGTAAAACGGAATATCTCATTTATATTGTGAGAAAGTAACTTTTCTCGTATTTCGATGAATATTAATAATTGAGTTGTCTATAATAATTATTACATGGTATATTTATTATATTATAACCTATTATATACTTGTATTTTTATACTTTCTATTATAAAAATGTAACAGTGTCATATAAATGTATGTAACATCATATTAGTTCCATCCTACCATTTACGTCTTTTAACGACGTTACCTACCGGCTTTTTTGGCATTTCTCTGAAAGAAATAATTAATAGAATATAATACGCAATACTTATACAAAGTGACAAGTAATATATGGACTATTCCGTAATACTCGACATCGTCATTTTACTTTTTTATCGTATACAATGGAAATATACCATATGACACTTGCAGAGTAGATTACATTAAAGCTATATCGTAACTTTACATGCAATGAAAAGCGATTCAGAATCTGTTAGGAACAGATTGACTATTAAATAAAAGTTGAAAAACTTACCCGATGAAAGTAGCGAAACGCAGAGAATGTAAAATTGGACGTATACATTATTGCAATCTCGTGCTAAACTGTTGCTTTGTAAGTTAGGTCAGGGGTTCTGTGAGTAATAATTCCGCCGTTACCCGCTACGTTGTAATGTCTAACGGGCTAGAAATGTTGATGTTTCATATTACTCGCACTTCTACGTTCTTTCTTCCGTCGAAGAACGAAACGCGCAAGAGTCGTGAATCGCTACGTGGACTCAATGACTTCCGAAAATGGGCAGCACATTGCAATTAATAATATCGGTAATTGGTGTATGCGTGCCGCGTGCCGCTGAACTTCAAAGGTCATCGCCTGGCAGCGCGAGTTTAATTAACGCAATCAAATGAAAATATTCATGTACGCGCCGGCACCGGGGGCGCGGTGTGCGTGCGCGTCCGTGTGACGGCGTGAGCCGCCAGCTCATTATGCAAAAGTTCTGTGCGTTTCCCGCAATTTCAATATTCGTTCAATTCCCGAAAGGCTCGCAACGGTAAATCGTGGCATTGACACAGATCGCGCGCGCTTCGAAATCGGATATAACTCGACTTTTCGATCGGCCGTTTTAAACTGCCGTCGTGTGTCCGACGCGTATATCGCGCAAGCGCTCGCGCGCGCATGTTACCGCAATTAAAATAGTATTTCGATAGGACGTAATGAATGTAAAACGTTTCATTGCATATTTAGCTCTTCGTTCTCTCCGCCATCAGGCTGAATGAAATTATAATACGTTTATAAATGCCGGTGATACGTAATTGCGTCGGGTTCACACACGGAGGTGTATTCGAACGTTTAGCGGAAGTCGCATTAAAGATAGGTCGGGCGAATTTTACGCCGCTGGTTGCCCTTCCGCCTCGCGGATGTATCGTCGATATGTCTTGCGTCGAGCGTAAAATTCGACGCTACCTTGCATTGCGACTCCGCGCATTAATTACGGGGTGAAGAGATCCCACGATGTCTCTTGTTTCCGACACTCTCGAAGTCACATAGATTTTTCATTTCACGAAGCAATTTCGAGATATTCGTCGAGGTATTCGTGCAATTACAGTAGATATTATTTTCGTTTGGCGTTCTCTCGACGTGAAAAAAAAATGTTCATAACTTTCCCGTGTATCTTCTCTTGCCCCTCTCTCGTCTCCCTTACTGCTTCCCCTCTTCTGCACGGTCACGCGTAATCACGCGCGTTCGTGAGCGACACTCGATCTAATGTCAGATATTAACGCACATCCCGGAAATCGTGCAGCTTTCTGTCGCTGGCTCAGCAGCAATTGGTGTCCTTCGTCACCCCCTACAATTGTCTCGAGAATACGAGTGGAGGCTCGCACGGTAATTGCGAATCGACGTATCGCGTTAACGCGTCATGCCGGCGCGTCATATCTGCGCGATTGCGCTCGACGATAAAGTTTTCAGGCCTTAAAGCGTGGGAGTGAACGCATCTGAATGCGTGGCCTTAGCTGGAAAATAAAGGAACCCGCGATTTCATCGATGCACTCGCGCACCCGCGATTGTTTCACAGCAACGGAAGAATATCATTCGCGCGCGCGTCGTAATCTACGCACCGTCATCAGACACTCATTTCGGTGGCATATCCTACTTTGTGCTCTCTTCGCGCAAACTTATCATTTCGTCGTCGTGTCCCTGAGTTATGCATATCGCCGTTGCCGACAACGACGACACTGCCGCGACGGTCTGTCGCTGACGAACGTCAAAGTTTAAAAGTCGGTGACAGCTGGAGGCGTATCTACCGTTGAAATCAATGCACGCGCAAAATTACCGGCGAGTCTATAAGAAAATTATTAGCAAATTCAAACGTCCATTTCTTCAATACGTTCACCGGTCAAGCTCAATATTTCATCGTTAAGTCCTGACACTTATCTCCTCCGCCGAGATTTACGGCTCCGAGGTGTTACGCGCGAACGAGCCGCGCCTGCACTCCGCGAGTGACACCTGAAATTACGATGTCGCGACCATCTGCCCGCGCGCCGATCGGACTTTCATTTAAGGAAGAGATCATCGTAAATCGCGACGGGCTATCGACAGACAGACAGTAAACGTTTTCCTCACGAGAGAGAGAGAGAGAGAGAGCGGGCGGTTTACGAGCGGAAAATAAACGCGGCATCGAATTATATCGTTATGCCGACGCTCTTTATACCGCAGGAACGCCTTACGTGCTCGAGTATCCGCCGTAATGCAAACCGGTGCACGCGAGCTCGCTCAACGCGCGCGTACACGCACCCACGTATTGACACTTCTGCGGTGCAGCGGCGTGTGATGCGCCGACATAAACGCGCACGGTTCGCTGCTGCACCCCGCTGCGTGCGTGCGTGCGTCGCGCCAGTGTGCGTGAAATCGACCACGTGTGTTCGCCACCGTCGTCGTCGTCTATGCGCGCGGAAGGCTGGCGGCGAGGGGTGTCGCAGTCGGAGGAGAGGAATCGGTCGGGTACATGGACGCATACTAATTAAAAGCCGTATTGTCGCGGCACGTCGCGCGAAGATGTGCCAATTACATCTCGAAGGAGAGTCTCCCGCCGGGCGCGAATGAATGAAGCGCGAATTTATTAGCGCCCGCTTTCTTTTTCCTCCGTCTGAAAGGACCTCCCGGCATCTCCCACGCGCGCGCTGCCTGAATCGGCGTACTTGCGGTACACCTTCGACCCCGCGTCGCATTATACGCGCGAGAGCCCGCGAGAAACGGCAAAATTGCCTGCCTGCAACGCGCGCGCACTCCCGCGGGCGTATCACTCGCGATAACGTGGTCGTAGCGTAACTGTGATTGTAGCAGGCGAGAAAGAATATAAATAAGAAGGAAAAGCTCGGCGTACCGTTCGTTAGGGAGAGAGAGAGAGAGAGAGAGAAAATACGAATGTCGGATTTCTGAAGGTTCGTTTCGTTTGTTTAGATTGACGAATGACGCCGTAGTAGAGAGCTGGTTGGTGCGCGGATACTGGGACGCAAGAGGTAAGTTTCTCGTTGAGATTGAGCGATCGAGCGTTCGGAAAATGCAGGACACTCGTCGCTCGTTAATTTATTTCCACGTCAATTGACGATTACGTAGATCACGCGCGCGTAACACAGTGTTCTATTTGTTACGGAACAATTATTACGGGCTTATCGTGTCACTATCATCTCCATACTATCGAATGTACAATATATCGAGAGCCGTCTGCTCGATTGATCGTAAAAAAGTATCATACTTTCATTTCGACCCGCACCTTTCGTTAGTGTGAGGTTCGAGACGAGCTGGCACGCAGTTGAAACGCGCTTACAGATTATCACTCGTGCAATATCATTTCGCGAATTGTAGGTAAAGCAAGCGGAATACGTCATCGCCTTTCGTGATAAGGAACGATTATTAGGGCGTAAATACAGTAAACACTCAATGTAGTTTCATCTCATTTTGCTATTTTTTCCGTGCATATTTCACGGTCATGCGAGATAGATACCCGAATCGAAATTTTGAATCTGTATTAATTTTGCAAATTCCATTGAACTTGGAAATCCGCTGCAGAGACTCGAAATATAATACCGTACAAGCTATTGTCTTATCTTGACGCTGTGAATGTTTGCTTATTGTTATTTTCTGCAAGTTGAGGTTTAAAGAAGCTACACAGATATTTCGGAATTACTTAATGTTTATTTGTAACTCCCAACGTTTTATATTCTGCACTTAATCTTGATCCTTACTTTTAATTAGCGATGTATTAATCATATAATTGACTCAGCTACAAATATGTACAGTACATAAGATAAGCAAATATTAAATGATTTATCAATAGTTTGCCAATAGAAATTTACATTTGGATTCCACACAAAAACAAGACTAAATAGAAATGAAAAGAAGGCATTGGCAGAGATGAACAAAATCGGACTTATGGCACAAAGCATTATTAAACGCACAAATTAGCACTTGCGAAATTTATATTAGATTTTGAGGCCGGCATTCATAATTGTAAATTATTTACGATCTTTGTTTGAGAGTATAATTAATTACAGATTCATATCCGCGTGGACTGTTGTTTGGATATTTGGATCAATACTTCTTGTTCTATGAAATAAACACAGGTACGGATGAGTAATTAGTGATTCGTAAAGCAATAATTATTTGTTAAATGATGACAGACACTATGGATGCCGGTCTAAATTTCAACTCGAGTATTTTCTTATATTCAAAATTCGCCGAATAACCGTTCACATCAGATATCTAATAAACAATTTCACACACCTGGAAATATGTGGCGTACCATTCATATTTCCGCGTCCTCGGTGCTCCGTCCTGACTTCCGGTTCCAACATCCTGCTACCGGCTGCTTCGCCGTAGCACTCCGGAAACTCGCTCGTTGCACTAACACTCGCGTAGATGTGATTCGATCGAAGAAACGCATATTAACTGACACCGAAATATTTTAATCGTCCGATGGAGAAATTTTGTAAACGACACACCAAACACGTAGTGGTATGCTAGCCGCTCGCCGGCACGAGACGTGATAACCGATCCACAGAGAAGTACGCGGCACGCGAGAGTGTCAAAACAATCAAAATACTGCGGATCTTCAAGACGGTCGAATTTGAATGTCACTCGTGCGTGACGTACTTAACCGAATGTTATGTATTACGTGTCGAATCGGGGCACGAATCGCACATCGCGTAGTACGTGTACGGATGCGTTAATTATATCATTCTCGTCGTGTGATTAGAATGAATCGATAAAAATGTGATAAAATCGTGCGATAAACATTTCCTCGACTATTGAAATATTTAATCGGGCTCCCGCGTTGGCACGGCGTTAACGTTTCTTTGATCGAATCGTGCCTACGGAAATGTCAGTGCTAGTGCCACGAGTGAGTATCCGGAGTGAGGATCATGATAGAGCAGGAGCAGGAAGCTGGGACGGAGAAAGCAGGATATCAGGACGCGGCCAGGGATACATAATATATTTCCAGGTGCGTGAAATCATTGGTTATGCGAAAGATTTTCAAAGGACGTTTTTACTTACTAACAATAAGATGATACTCAAGTCGAAATTCGCATTCATAGTTTGTTATCACTTAACAAATAGCTTTATGAATGTCTAATTATTCCTCGATTTCTATTTATTTCATATAATAAGAAATACTGATACAAACAGCCAAACAATGGTTCGTGAATATGAATCTATAATTAATTAAACTCTCAAAAAAATCATAAATAAATCATAATTAAGCCGTACTTATGAATAACAATTTTAGTACGTAGTAAAAATTTTGTAAACATTAATTTTTAATTTTGAATCTTCAAATTTTAGTTTCCAATGTCAATAAGAAAATAATAATTATAATTCTGAACAAAGAAAGTTTTATATCCCCATATTAGTTGTTTAATATTTGCGTATATTTCATATACTATATTTGCGATTAAATAAATTACACATATCGGATTTTAGAATAAAGAATAATCACACATAAACTGAGAGATACGGTTGAATATTAAATAATTCTAAAATAAACTTCAACATGAAAAAACGGCACTAAGTAAAAACTTGTAACATTAAGGTAAGGCAATAGCCTGTACAGCCTGTACGATGTTATGTTTCGAGATTCTCCGTTTGGTTCTTTAAGTTCGACAGAATTTTGACAGAGTTAATGAACCAATATTTCGACTCGGGTAGTTCTCACGTTTGAAATCCTATTTCGCCGCGCACTCGCCGTTCGTTCGTCACTTTATTATTTCATCACCTTGAATCTATTTTCGACGTTCGGTCTGTATTTTGTAAGATAACTTTCCGAATTTCCAATGCTCCCGTATAGATTCTACGTTCGTCACTAATACCGGGCTCATTTATGACGAAAAATATTGTGCGAGAGCTTTTGGTCTCTTCCCGATCTGAATACACGGAGCGCGCGAAAGACGATATGAATATATAATACGCGAAATGATAACAGCGCGCGTTGAATATTAGGTAACGTCTGTCATAACTCTCCGGGAGCAGGACAGTGGTTCTGCGACCGTCCGTGTTCATGCAAAAATCACAAGATCGTCGCCTGCTATCTCCCCCCCCCCTCTCTCTCTCTCTCTCCTTTTCCCGGCTTTCGCCACAATTCTCGTCTTTCTCGCGGGATTATGCAAGCGAGGAGTCGAGATCTTTCTCGCGACGTGGTCGATACTTAGAATTTAAAATGCATTTCATATCGTTACGCTCACCGCCATTCTTCACCGGCACTTCCTCTCTCTTTCTCTCTCGGCCTTTGCCGCGTTCTCCCTTTCTCTATCTCGCTCTTCCACTACTAACCCACCCCTAGCCTCCCACGTTCCTCCGTCCTGCTCTCATTCCACTTTCCAAGACCGCGCGGTTCTCCTGCCCGCTTGTTCAACAGACGGCATATGTGTCTTTATGAACGGTATGTGGAGTAGACAAGTGCATTAAAACCTCGGGCGTTAGTTCAAGCTTCAAGAGGTAGGAGGACGACCGAGGGTAGCGGCGGGGGCGGATGGAGGAGGACTCAGGAGGGCACACAAAAGAATGCAAAGTAAGAACCGCGACCTCCGCTAACCCCCCCTTCCTCCGTGTCAGCCACCGCGGTCCTCCGCTTCGTATTCTCTTCTAGCCGCACCCTTCCGCCCCCTTCCGCCTCCTCTCCTAACCGTATATCTTGGCAATCCCGTTTCGTGCGCTCCTCCAGCGCCGTGTAATCCTCCTCTTCCTTTACCATATCGTTTTTCCTATACCGAGGTTACAACGCATTATCATACAAGGCGACACTGCGCCTCGCCTTCCCTTAATTGTTTCCCGGTCTCACCATCTCACGAGGGAGCGAGGAGGTGAGGGGAGGAGAGTGGGTCACCTCGTGACGCGGCGGTGTTCTTGCCGCTATCACCCGTTGAAGTGCGAGAACCACGCCGAGGAGTGTTTTCTCTCTTTGCGCGCGAACTCGAAAGCGCGAAAGGGGTGAGACGAGCGCGACGATTTACAAGTGGTCACCGGGGGAGGGGGGGGTAAGGTAGGGCGCCGAATTCTCCATCAACGCGGGATCCTCCGTATTCCGTAATGTTCGACATCAAAGGCCGGGGGACATTTTGCGCGCCGTCGACTGCGAGAAGTTGCACGGACGCTAAACGAGGGAACGGCTCGTCCGCGCTCTTATTGGTGTCTACGGGCGGAAGATATTTTTTTGTGGCTCGTTGAATTCGATGCCACAGATGTCAACCGGTATCGGTTGCGACAAGCGGTGCCCTTTGCTTTCGAACACGGCCGATTTCGCGATTTTGCACGCGCCTTTAACGGATAGACGCTTCGCGATTGGCAAACGGCCGATTGAAGCGATCGATCGTAATTGAGAACGGTATAAGTGGCCGAGGACAAAAGGACGCGGAAGAAAATTGCTTCAGCGTCGAGTGGATTTCGGCGTTTGCAATCATTTATTCGTGGATTCCTCGGCAAACGAAGAAAAAGAAAATTATCAATCATCATTCATGATCTCGCGCTCTGAAGTGATTAGATTCATTAATCGATGTTACTTACGTCGCTTTACGCGAGGCCTCTTGACGATTATTACGAATTAGGCTGAACGCGGCGAAACGGCCGTTTTCCTATCGACTTGGAGAAATCTGAGATTAGCCGCACGAAGTAATGAAGGGATAACGGCCCTTTCAACTTTGCGGTTGGTTCCGACATCTGTCTAAGATGAGTCGGTTCGCCCCCGATTAACCCCGATCGGCGTAACATTTCTCAAACTCTCGTTAAGGATCTGTTTGCCGGATACGCACGCTCGAGAGCCAACGTCCAAAGTGCAATAATCACGGTTAATTTCCGCCCGGGGTACTCGTAATTTCGCGATAATACGAAATCCATTACTCTCTCGGTATCGCCCGACATGGAAAATATATCATATTTCGGGTCACCCTTGTCGCTAGGAGGAATAAAAAAACGAACGGCAATATCGAGACATATCGGTAATATTCAGTGGTCAGAAAGTGGAATTATC